TGGTGGTTCGATTCCCGGTCAGGGCACATGCCCGGGCTGCGGGCTCGATCCCCAGTGGGTGGGGTGCGGGAGGCAGCTGATCAATGACTCTCTCATCATTGGTGTTTCTCTCTCTCCCTCTCCCTTCCTCTCTCTGAAATCAATAAAGACATATTTAAAATAAAAATCAAAAAAATAAAAAATAAAATGGCATCATTTACTCTTTATACAGTAAATAGGACAGGTATTTGTCTAAAATGATGATGTATTACTTCAATTTAAAAATACTGAATGTTCTGAAATCTATCCAAAGAAATTAAAACATGTTTTCTCTTAGGGTTTTGCGATACATTGCAATATATTGAAGGTATCACCTCCCTAAAGACATGACATATAATAGATGCTCAAAATCTTTATTAAAATAAACAAGTCAATAAATTTATAAATGAATTGATAAAAAAAAGCTTTTTCTTCTTAAAAAAACAAACAAACCTTTGATGTTAAGCTTAATTTAATTATGCAATGATCTAATTTTATTGTGTGCCCTATCAGCAAAATCTTTCAGCACAGTCCTCCATAGATGTACTTATTTATAAATTTTTACGCTTACCACTTTAGTAATGTATTAAGGATACTGTAAACTCATACATACAAAGAAACCAATTTTAAAATAAAGGTAAAATAATCAAGGTCTGGTTAAAGTCAAAATTATTTTGATATGAGAGTTAATGCCTGCAAGGGCTGCAGCAGCTCACTAACACACAGGCAGGATGAGAGCAGAGGGCCAAGCGCTGCGACGGCGAACGAGAGCCCTCTCCTTCCAGCCCCCCGCCGCCCATCTTCCGGAAACTGAGCTTGCACGTTTTCATTTTCCCTGAAGCTGGGCGATCTTGCCAAGTGACCACAAGATTATTCATTTATATTTATAATAACATTTATATTCATCACCCATGGGCTGAGGGTAAACTATAACTGGGACACTTTAGAAGTTGGACAAAAACTGCTGCAATATTCATGCGTATGCAAATAAAAGAATTTCTATGACTGAAATTATTTGTGGCAATAAAATGACAATGATGGAAACGTTTTCTTGATATTTTCCCCCAAACGCTTTCTCCAAGCTGAACTTTCTTTGAAAGCATTTATTTCAAATTAATTGTTCAAATGTCACTTATACCCTGAGGGAGTAATTTTTTTTCTTTTTACTTTCCCCCCAAACTTCTAATAAGCACGGGCTCAGAAGTTTCCCAAGCATATATATCTAGTAATACATCCTAGGATATACGAATCTACAACTTTTCCAGATAATATACCAAATTGTTTTCAACGGTAGTTGTACACATTTATCTTTTCTATGCTATTTCTTCTGTGTTACTGTGGTCATTTTTACTGTAGCCAAAAAAGAGCAATTATTTTACCCGATGGCATAGGGCTTTTCGTTTTTGTTTTTAAGAAAGCACAAAGTGGCATATGACTTTAAAGTTCTTTTAAAAATAATTATTTTAGAGGTTTCTAATCATGCCGTGCTCAGTGTTTAAATATCTTGCTGGTCATGAGGGTGTCATACACTCATTAGCTGATATATCAACGCACAATAAGCCTGAAGTTAAAATTCATAATTAAGAACTGATTCAGCCATAATGTAATATCATATGTAATGTGCTAGGACTTTGTTTAGAATATTAACACCTATATTCATGAGGAATGCAAGACTGGGTTAACATTCAAAACCAAAACAGAATTCACTATATTAACAAACTGAAAGAGACACCATATAATAAGAATACTTAAGATCCAAATATTCTCTCCAAGAAGCAAAAGCCCCTATGAATTTCCTTCTACATTCTACCTTGTAAAAAAACTTACTATGATTAAGAAGCCCCAAATACTACAGTGTCTGTACTAGGGATATTTTACTCAACGTGGTTATGACACTAAAAGAGCAAACTGGATTCACTTCTGTTTCTGAAAGGAACTCTAATAACTCGAGATAAGAGTGGAGGATCTTCCTGCCTCGTAGCTGTCACATTATAAACCTGTGGCACAAGATTATACTACTTTTGTACCCAAATGTAAAGTTCAGGGGGAAAATAAACATTAACACTACCATGTCCTTTAAGATTCAGCATCTTATCTTTGGAAGAAATGCTCAACAAAGAAAAGGTACTCATTTGAAGCTGTAGTAATGGTTAAGGCCAAAGACTTGTTTAAGCTCAATGAATGTGCAGTTGTCGTGTTATTTTATCAAGTGCATTTAAATAGTGTCAGATGCACATGCAAACATGAATTTAAAACTGAGACTTCTAAATTATATCCATTATTTCTTACTCTAAAAACTTCTGAAACTTAGGGGTGACAGATGTGTCAGAAAGTTCTCTTTACCAACTAAAGAAAGGACAACCCATCTCAGTTATGAACTGTCATTAGTAATTTAGCAGAGCTAGAAGGCAGTTCAGCCGAGTAGACAGAAAATTAAAACATGGGCAGCTCCTGATTGGAAATTTATTCATAGCAGGTAATGATATAGCACAGCCAGGATCCCTGGTATTACTCAGAGTGAGATTTAATTCTGGTAACTTTGATGATATGGCTCTTGAATCAGAGATTATAAATGGTGACAGGTTGTGACATGTAGCTAGGATGAAATGAGCGTCAGCAACACATCTCTACAGAAGCTACAGAGGGACTATAATAATTTCAAAAAGTATTACAAGTTTTCAAAAAAGAGGCTTAGGCCTTAGGTAAACCATGTGCCATTTTCATATATATTGAATGCTGATTATAAAATGGGTTTGGCATCACAGAAAAGCAATGCTACGTTACATACGCTATAACCATAAGAACAGAAGAGACTAAAAAACCTGACAAATGTCATCAGGCTAATATTAATTTTGTCGATAAAGTTTTTAATAACTTGGACATAGTGTTGAGAAAATAATTCCAAGAGTATGAGAAACTTTAATATTTTACATATTGAAGACTCTATGTAAGAATTTTTAACTTTGGTGATATGCATTGGCTTTGCAGGATTTTACTATAGTGTTTAATGATGTCATAACCAATAGTATAAACCTACACAGGAAATACTAATTCTTTAAAATTTGGAAAATTTATATGTAAAATAGAACAATATCTAGAATAATACAAATTCATTTTAAGTGGAGCTATATTTACAGAGGACTAAGTCTAAATGACAAAACAAAATAAAAAATAACAATAAAAATAATAATGAGCTAAAACTAATATACATTATTTACCAAAGGTAAGCTCCTGAGAAAGATTAATAGTTAATTCAATAACAAAACAAAGACGGGTTAAATAAAAATGTTAACTATATTTTGATTTCTATAGTAGAAATTCTTAAAAGAATTGTGTATAATCCCTTTGCTTTAGAAAACACATAACTTGAAATGGACTTATTATAGCACAGAAAAATACATTACAGTAAATATTTTAATAAAATAAAGGATAATTTTATAACATAAAATCTACCCACTTAATGTATTTCATTTTAGGACACAGTTCTACAGAATTGTTTTATAATCAAATTTACCATTCAATGTATTTCGTAAGGCACAATTCTACAGGACAGAGTTCACTCTTGTCCACCCAAATACAAACTGGAGAATTAATTTAATTCCTGTCCACAATCAACATTTATAAGATTTATTCAATAATGTAATTAGTGGGGTTATATCACAAAATTAGCACAGGTCCAGTCCTTTTTACTTGTCATAAATCCATACTATAAAAGGCAATGTTCAAAAAAGTGATCGAAACACAAAATACCCTTACAGAGGGAACTGTATTAGCCCCCGAACTTTGCTTCTTTCCTAAAATAAAAAACCTGAAGCCAGAATGATTAATTGATTCGTACAAGAGGAAAGCTAGGCCTGGAACCCTGCCACTCGTTTGTGTCTCCTGTGTCTTTTCTCATACATTATGCTGCTTTATCTGGCATGAGTGATTCCTATATGGCTATGAAATACACAATCATGTATGATATGAAGAAAAGAGTGTAGCAAAAAAAATTTTGTCCATATAAAAGTCATCTAATTTGTACTGAAAATATTAGAATTCTTCATTTTATCAAATTTATTGCAGAAGCATTTTTTTCCTACACTATTCATTTTCCAGGTATGTGAATGTTTATGTAATATAAAATATCCCCCAAAAAATCATTAAATTCTTTCCAAAACACTTATTATACACAAATTAGATATACATTACTTGACATTCTGCTACTTTTAATATGCCTGATAATGATTTTCATTATATTTTACGTATGATAAATACAAGTTGAGAGTAATCTGGCTTTAAAAAATGTTTTGCCATATCATGCTATTTATATTTAATCACCTAAAACACCTTCTATTTAGATGGTAAAAGAAGTCAGAGATGTGTTTAATCTTAAAGAACTGTTTCAACACTATGCTTACTATCTTTAAGATGACTATAAAAATAGTCCCATGTATAAGTAGAATTGCTATTCAGAATAAATAAAATATGTAGCTAATATAGCTAAAACATTTGATACCATACCTGAAATATTACATTACATACTAATAAGTGTTAGTTATCATACTTATATTTAGCTCTAGTCTAAATCATGGTAATATTATTAAAATACCAAAACATGAAGTATGATTTTTAAAAATAACCTACTTAAAACAATGTGTATTTCTTTATTAATAGGAGACTTGCTATGGCTAATTCAACCTGATAAAGTAGTCTTTTTGATATTAAAACATGCCTCACATTAATCCTTTAAATGGGAATACAGTCAATATATTTTAAAAGGCAAAAGATTTGTTAAGCTAAAATTTAATGCAACTTACTATGATTATATGTTATACAAAACAAGTTCAATTCTATAAGTATGTTAAACATTCTTCATAAAATTATAAAAACTCACTTAAGAAATTAAGTATCAGTAAGAGGATACGTATACAATGAATTTAGTGAAATTCCTTAAAATTAATTTTGAACAAAGAAAACATTTCAATATTAAATGTACCTACCTAGAGTAGGCAAACAATCGACTATCCCAAAGATCATGATTCCCTCTAGGTCCAGAATGAAAATAACAGGAATCTGTCCCGTCAAACATATTCAATCCATCTTCTGAATTTTTTGAAGCATGGCTGTGCACCACATCCAAGAGGACTGTGATACCCATCGAGTGAGCTGTGTCAACCAGTTCTTTGAGCTCTTCAGGAGTTCCATAACGACTAGAGATAAAGAACACAGAAAAAACGAGATTACAGCACATTTAAAGCTAACAGCTGGACATTTACTGTGAATCAATTATTTTATCAGCACTGTAGTACTTTATTTATTTATTTATTATTATTTTAAAGTTTATCTTTATTGTTGAAAATACTACAGGTATTTCTTTTTTCACCCATTGATTCCCTCCATCCCACATCCATCTCCCCCGAGACCTTCCCCAGACCAGTGTCTGTGTCCATGGGTTATGCTTATAAACACATAAGTTCTTTGCTTAATCTCTCCCCTCCCCACCTTCCCTCTGAGATCCCTCAGTCTGTTCCATGCTTCTATGTCTCAAGATCTATTTTGTTCATCAGTTTATTCTGATTATTATATTCCACATGTAAGTGAGGTCATGTGGTACTTGTCCTTCTCCGACTGGCTTATTTCACTCAGCATAATACTTTCTAGTTCCCACCATCTGTGCCAAAAGCCAAAAGGTCCTTCCTCTTCACAGCCGCATAGTATATTCCATGGTGTGAATGTCCCACAGCTCTTTATCCACTCAGCTACTGATGGGCACTTGGGCTGTTTCCAGATCTTAGCCATTGTGAATTGTGCTGCTATGAACATAGGGGTGCATAAGTTCTTCCTGATTGGTCTTTTGGGTTTCTTAGGGTATATTCCTAGAAGTGGGATCACTGGGTCAAATGGCANATTGGTGTTTTGGGTTTCTTAGGATATATTCCTAGAAGTGGGATCACTGGGTCAAATGGCAGATCAATTTTTAATTTTTTGAGGAAACTCCATACTGCTTTCCATAGTGGCTGCCCCAGTCTGCATTCCCAACAGCAGTGTGCTAGGGTTCCCTTTTCTCCACGCCCTCGCCAGCACTTGTCCTTCGCTGACTTGTTGATGGAGCCATTCTGACAGGTGTGAGGTGATATCTCATTGCGGTTTTGATTTGCATCTCTGATAATTAGCAACCTTGAGCATTTTTTCATATGTCTCTTGGCCATCTGTATGTCCTCTTTGGAGAAATGTCTGTTTAGGTTCTTTGCCCATTTTCTAATTGTATTGTCTTCCTTTTGTTAAGTTGTATGAGTTCCTTATATATTTTGGATATTAACCCTTTATCAGATGTGTCATTGGCAAATATGTTCTCCCATACAGTGGGCTCCCTTTTCATTTTGTTGATGGTTTCTTTTGCTGTGCAGAAGCTTTTTATTTTGATGCAGTCCCACTTGTTTATTGTCTCCTTCGTTTCTCTTGCCTTAGGAGATTACTAGCAAACATATTGCTACAAGAGATGTCTGAGATCTTGCTGCCTATGTTTTCCTCTAGGATTTTTATGGTTTCACATCTTACATTTAAGTCTTTTATCCACTTTGAGTTTACTTTTGTGTATGGTGTAAGTTGGTGGTCTAGTTTCATTTTTTCACATGTACCTGTTCAATTTTCCCAGCACCATTTACTGAAGAGACTGTCTTTACTCCATTGTATGTTCTTGCCCCCTTGTCAAATATTAATTGACCATAATGGCGTGGGTCAATTTCTGGGTTTTCTAAAATTTGTAGTACATATTTTAGATATACAAATGCCATATAATACTTTGATACAAATCAAAATTGCTGAGTATTTGTTATTGAGCAAATTTAAAAGCATTCAATAAAAAAATTCAATCAGGTTATTTAATGTAGATTTATATCCCTAAAAAAATTCACATTTTTTGTAGTTAAATAGTAAAACTCTGCTTCTCTAAACTCAGAACTTCCAATTTCCTCCTCCAAGTCTAACTAATCCTGGGAAATGGTCATACCTGAACACATACATGGCCATCCCTTAGAGTGTATATTGTTGGGGTGAAGGTGATGCTTAGAGTATTTCTTTGAAAGTCCCCGGAACCTTGAGTGAGGCCATCCCTCCTGCACTTACTTATTCCTAAAATGAAATGTGCTCAGGTACCAACAGGCCAAGAGAAAATGCCATATATGTCACCAGCCAAGCAGAAAAGATAGAGCTTACATGTGTTTGTATGAAAAGTAGTTTTCTAGTCCACATGAGAGAAAATAAAACCACACCCTAGAGCATGTCCTTTCTTAATCTACGTAAAATCTCAGCATTAGTTTTCCACAGTATCATCTTGGTTTTTTAAATAAATGATCACCCTTGTGAATAATTGTTTGCTGTGTCTCTTCCTCACTAGACCTTATGCTCCTTGAGGGCAGGGGCTATGCTATCTGGCTTCCCATGCATGGTATAGTACAGAGCTTAGTATATAGCAGGTTTCCTAATAGCCATCTCCATTGGGCAGCAAGAGCTATATTTTAAAAATGCAAATAAGATCATGTCATCTTCTTCCTTAAATCATACTTGCACTTCCATTGCCCTTGGGATAAGTACCAGTGTCCTAATCATGACCTACTGCACTGCTTAATCTGGCTCTTTCCAATAACTTCAGACTTACGACACCCTACTCCTTCCTCTCCTTATCCTAGGCACCAAGCATTTTTCCACTCGCTGAAAAGCATGTCCAATGAATGAAGAGCCCTGCAGTTTCACTCATTCATTTTTGTTTGTTTAACAAATACTTGCTAAGGTATCTACCATGTCATGAAATGTTCTATGCTCTGGGGATTCAGCAGTGAACAAAATAAATATCACAGCCTTTATGGACTTACATTCTAGTTGGAAAACAACAAATAAATAAGCAAGATATGTGGAATCTCAGATAGCAATAACTTAGAAAATGAAGCAAAGCCACTGGTAAGAAGGGCAGGTTTGCTATTTTAATATTTTAATATTTGAGCAAAGACCTTAGAGACATAGGGAGCAAAGAACGTGAATAGTCAACAGGAAGACTGCTCAGAGAGGAAGAGCACTGGGGATAGAAATGAGTGAGAGGCATTTGAAGAATAGAAAATAGGCTAGTGTAGCTGGAATGGAATGATCAAGAAAGAGATGAGACCAGAGGGGTGGCCAAGACCCAAATCACATGGGGTCTTATTGACCAATAAAAAGACCTTTGGCTTTTATTCTGAAAGGGAATCATTAGCAGGTTCTGTGCAAAAGAGTGACATGATCTAATTTTTATTTTTAAATGGTTACTCTGGCCACTGTAGCAGCTGAAGCAACCAGATGTGGGGTATATCCAAAGTTACAGGTGGCTAAGTTTTATGACAGCTAGACGGACAGAAGAAGAGTCCTGCATATTGCAAAGGTTTTTGGCTTGAACTGGAAGATGAAGATGTCATTTACTGAACTAGGGAAGATGACAGGAGGAGGAGACTGGAAGATAAGATCAGGAATTTAATTTGGGACATGTTAAGTATTAGATATGTATTAGATACCCCAATGTCAAAAATGCACTCTTTGAAATTCACAACAGAGGTCAGGACTAGAGAGTTAAATTTGGGAGTTGACATTTAAAGTGTATTTAAGCCATAAAAATAGGTGAGACTTGATGAGACACCAAGGTGCTTCATATAGACAAGAGAAGAGAATGGAACCAAGGGCTGAGCACTGGGAGATCCAATCTTTATTAGTTGGAAAGAGCAAAGGAAACAAGGAAGAAACAAGAAAGGTGGGAAAAACAACAGGAGGGGGAAATACTCTGAAAACCAAGGAAAGAAAAAAATTCCAAGAAGGTGGGAGTAACCAATTGTGCCAAATGCTGTTGACAGTACAAGTAAGAACTTATCTTTACAGGTGACAATGTGGAGGTGATTAGTACCCTTGACAAGAGCAATTTCAAGTGAGGAGGTGAAGAGCCTCCTTGGAATGAGTTAAGCAAAAAGGAGTGGAAGAATTACAGAGAGTAAGTAAAGGTGACTTATTCAAGTAGAACCATTCCAAAGAAAACCAGGTGAAAGAATATAGGTGGGGGATTTTCTGTCTTAAATTCTATCCACCTATTCCCACTTCACTCCTCCCCAAGTTAACTTTTAATCATGCTTTAGACCTCAGTTCTAACATCAGCCCATACCTAATCTAATCTAATCTAATCTAATCTAATCTAATCTAATCTAATCATACCTCTGCTTCTATACTATTATAGCACTCTGTCATTTTCTTATTTGCTTCTATTATAGGTAGAAATCATAATATGTAGGATTATTGGATTACTGGCTATATGCCACCACAGCATAATTTCCACGTGGCAGAGACAGTGTTAGACATGTTCAACTTGTGGTCATTCACGTCAGCATCTCTTCAACTGCATAGGATCCCTTGTGTCTTTCTGCCTAGAGGGCCACATTCCTTAGATTTGAGCCTGGGAAGGACAGTCCTTCTGTAGGTAGTATATGTCCTACCAATGGACTCCTCAGTCACCTTCCTACATGAGTCAATCTTTTTCCATAAAAGGATGTGAGCTCTGGCAATAATGGCTTCCATAAGACATGATTTTCTGATTAAAGCTTGGGCCTCCAAATGCATGAAAATTTCACCAGGTAACTGGATATTCTTTATCAGAAATCATTTCATGTAAACAACATTAAATCAAGGCCAACCTCTAAGGTTAGATGGGATGAGAGTCTATGATCTTAGTAAAAAATGCAAAGCTTCTGTTAATTCTGTTAACCCTAAAGTAGGTTACAAAATGACATCATATAAAATGTAAAAATTCATTTTATTTTTTTTACTTTTTGCTCAAAGAAGAATGGATATAATGAGTCTCATTTTACCTTGAAGCTGCAAAGAAGCTCGTGATTTGGTAACCAAAACTGGCATAATACGCATGCTCCATGATCGCCATCAATTGAATGCAGTTGTATCCTATGTAAGCAAAGGTCAAAGAGAGATTAAAAGTCACATTTAAAAAAAAGAATAAAAACATATATAAACACAGAATCTTTGTCTAAAGACATTACATTTTACATATACTCATTTACATAAAAATGACCTGATCATTTTGAAAAGTTCTACTACTTTAATATCCTTTGCTTTTCTGACCTTCTAACACATATTGGACAGTTAGTTCTTGAGAGTTATACATAATCTAACTAGCTATTTCAAATGTCTTCATTTTAAAATGTAATAAATTATATGCAAATATACTCTTAATTTGGATTTAGAATATTAAAGATGGCAATCTGCATATGCTAAACTTCAGCTGCACTCGTAATATTCATACTAAAGATTACGAATGCTAAATAAAAGTAACCAATTGCATGCCATATACTTTTTATTTTACCTTTTTCTTTATATTTCAGTTATTCTACTATATAGCATAAGATATAGGAGCAAATCCATTTTTCCACAAGGTAGCTCTTACAGTCAGCATTAATTCTACTTTCCACTAATTTCTTGCACCTATAAAATTACTCTAAAGTTGCTTGTTGCACATGTGGGCACACACACATGCGCACACACACACACCCTTCTTTTCTCCATCTGAAAATGTTGTGTTCTATACTAGAGGAAGTGACTGAAGGGGGCACAAGGGCCGCTGGAGCTTTGGAATGTGGGCTCACGCCCTGTGTTTATCTCCCTGGAGCGAGCAGCCACTGTAACCCCTTGCTGGCCATTGGCTGCCAGAGTTTCTTTGTGACAAGGCACAGGGGTTGCAGGGTGTGGAGTCGGCAGGCACAGCCTCAGAATGAACTTTACTGTCATGGACATTACCATCTCGGAGCTCATGGAGCTGTTTCTGCAGAGCCTGCTAGTGACTTGGGTGAAAACTTTGGGCCCATTCAGAAGCAGCAATCGGGACAACTTGACTATGTAGATGTAGTGGATGGCATCTTTTTGAACTAAATCATGTTTCAAATAGATCCCAGCCCTACAAGTCAACACAGCAACAAACAAGTCAACAATGATGTGAATCTTCACATTCAGAACTTGACCATCTTGGTGAGAAACATTAAGACCTACTACCAGGAAGTTCTCCAGCAGCTGATGATAATGAACTTGCCCAATTTTTAATGATTGGCAAAGATCCTCTGTCTCAGAAACCTATGGAGGAAATTAAGAAGGTGCTACTACTGGTACTGGGCTATGCTGTCCAGTGTGAGAGGAACGAGGAGTTCATTGAAAGAATCAAACAGCTGGATATTGAGACCCAATGCAGAATTGTGGCCCATCGCCAGGAGGTGACCCACAAGCAGAACATATTTGACCTGCAGTGGCTGAAGGTCCCAGATGTGGCCCCCAGAGCAGCTGGAGGCCCTCTTGAGGAACATGGTGTTTCACCTCAGGAGGCTCATAGATGAGAGAGATGAACTCATGGAGCTGATCGTGGACTTCACTCAGGAACGGGACTACCTCTAGGTGCAGCAGCCACCAGTCCCCTCAAGTCCTCCAGGGTTAAGTTCACACCCAGCCCAACCAGCAGCCTCTCTGGCGAGGAGAAGCAGCACTTGGACATGGAGCTGATGGACACCAAGGCCAGGCTGTGCTGCTTCAGGAAGGAGCTGGAGGAGCGGAGGAGCTTGTGGACACCAGGCATGAGGTGGATCAGCTGGTATTAGAGCTGCAGAAAGTCAAGCAGGAGAACACCCAGCTGACAGCCAGTGCCCAGTCTTCTCGTGCAGAGCTGCTCGTGATGAACTGGACTCCCTGAGGGAGAAGGTGAACCACATGGAGAGGCTGGAGATGGAGCTGCAGCGCTGCAGGGAAAAGCTGCACGACATGACTTCTATAAGCCCACATGGAGGAGCTGAGATAAGATACTATATTTTTAATTGAATCCAAGTCCATGCAGAAGCAACAGCTGACTGCTGCTCATGATAAAGTGCATGAGCTGGAGAAAAAGAGCCTGCAGCTGAAATCTAAGCTTCACGACCTGGAATTGGACTGGGACACAGACAAGAAATGCATTGAGGAGCTGCTGGAAGGGAACATGGTCCTCGAGACTGCACAGAAGCAGAGCATGAACAAGTCCGCCCACCTGGGCTGGGTGCTGGAGCAGCTGTCCAAGAACGCAGACCTGTTGGCCACCTCCAGGAAGTTGAGTTTGAGCTGAATGAATGTGCCTCCAGCAGCATCCTGAAGCTGGAGGAGAACCAGAGCCTCCAGAGCACCATCCAGGGGCTGCGGGATGCGTCACTGGCACTGGAGGAGAGCAGCCTCAGTGTGGGGAACTGGAGAAAGAGAACCAGCAGCTCAGCAAGGAGCCTGAAAAGCTGCAGACCCAGCTGGACAAAGAATAGCAGAGCACCTGGGATTTGGAGACCCTCAGTGAGGAGCTGATCTAAGAGAAAAACAGCTGCAGAGTGACATGGAGACCTCCTGAGCTCCCAAAGCCCCTCGCTCACCACATAGTACACAATGCTCCAGAACCAGCAGGTGGCCAAGGAGAGTGAGCACCAGAATCTGCAGAAGCAGCAGGAAGGCTGACTGTCGCCTAGGAGGCCCTGCTGCAGGGCCATGAGCACCTGGGCGCGCTCCATGAGCATCAGTGTGCAGAGTACAAGGCTCTCACCTGCCAGCACAGTTGCCTGAAGATGCTATATCATCGTGGCCAAAAACCAGCGGCTGTGGGGAGAGCTAGATAGGGTCAATTTCCTGCACCAGCAGCTGAAAGGGGAGCACGGGAGCTGCACAACCACACCAAGGAGCTGAAAACCTCACTGGACAACTTGCAGCTGGAGCTGAGCTGCTGGCAGGCCTGGTTCGATGAGTTGAAGGAGCAGCACCAGAACACGCACATCCCGCTGACCAAGCTGGACAACCACTGCGAGTGGCTCTCTTGTCTCAAGGGGAACTTGGACGGAGAAAATCATCACCTCGTGAGCCAGATCCAGCTGTTGAACCAGCAGAAGCAGATGCTTCTAGAGCAGAACATGGAGAGCTAGGGGCAGTAACAGGAAGAGCAGAAGCAGTAGACAGACTAAATGCCTTATGGAGACATAAGGAAACACTGGGAGAAGAAATCACGGATCAGCACAAATTCTATGATTCTGCTCCAAAGAAGAAAAACCACTGGATTGGCACCAAAGCCTTAGCCAAATTCATCAAACCAAAGAAAGAGGGGTCCAGAAAACAACTGAAGCCAACCACAGACACCCTCCCTGGCCGCGGAAGTCCTGAGACCCAGCCTTGCCCACTACTGCTCAGCCTCTTAAATCGCAGCCAGAGCCCCCCGAGACCACCCCATCGGTCTCAAACTGTGTAGAAGAGGGAGCCACCCACTATGGGACCGCTGGAAAAGCAGCTCCGCTGAAAAAGAGTCCCTTTTTGAGAAGCAAAAGCAAGGACAAAGACAGGTCTCCAATTCCCCCCTGCCCCCAGCTTTCTCTAAACACCTATGGTTCTGGTCGTCCCCTGACACGCCACCCTCTCCTAACAAGCCCCTCCACTTTTCAGAAGCTGAAGTTTTCTAATCCTTTCCTTTTATCGGGGTCTTCATCATGCACCCTCCTTCATTTCTGAAATTCAAACGAACAAACAAAAACCAGCACCTAAAGGCCGGATGACCCATAGTGGACCCCTTCTCCTGGCCCCAATTCCAGGCCAAGCTTAAAGTAGCCGCGTGGATTCTGATTTCAAAGAAGATGAGCTGTCACCCACTCTGGACCCACGCACAGGTCCTTATTTTTAAGCAGCTAAATTTAAAACTGCTGCCCCTTCTTCTACTTTCTTTGTCAGAGCATGGAAATGTTCACTTTTCAGGTAAGGCCCTTTTTAGGTGTTTTGAAGGATTTATTGCTCCACTCAAGCACTACGAATAATTGGGTCAATGTTGCCCAGCCAGGGTTCAGCCCGGAGTGACGTTGTGTGACGGTGCTAAGGTTCTGACACCTGGGACACTGGTGGTACAGCAGCGGTGGCAGACAGAATATCAGCACACAGTCAGGGCCAGAGCGGGGGCCGCTGGTCCACAGAGGCCTTCAGCTACCGCAGTGTTTTCTGTCTTTAAGCATACTTGTACCATCTCTATGATTTTTTCCATGTCTCTATCACCTGTGTGATTACTTATATATTTTCCCTTGAATTGACTCACCGTTTCCACTTAAATTTATTTTAAAAGAAAGATTATTCTCAGTACTGTAAATGGAAAACCAGTATCACCATAAAAACAAGGTAACCATAAAAATAAATATGTAACTATTACACTGTTCATTAAAAAAGGTAGGCACTGCCTTTTTAAAAATAAAAAAACGAAAGTTTTTTTCTCTGATTATTTGCTTATAATAAAAACACATTAATACTTTTAAATGTTATGTTCTTTAAAAAAAATTAAAATCAGTTTTTTCTTCCTCCAAGTACAATTTGGTATAATTTTCTAATATGATTTGATTCTTTGTAAGTAATATTTCTGTAGCATGCATGGAAAATACTCTTACTCTCAAAGTCCAATTCATGTCAATATAGCTTCTCATGCACATATTTCAGTACATGATTAATATTGGAATAATTACAAATTCTCAGTCAGAATTAGGGATTCATAAGTTTGAAAAATAACAAACTCCATCCTTCACAATCTGCTGAAAAGTTTATAATCTTTATAACTGTTTTGCCTTTTTTACTGCAAAAAAAATCAAGTTAACTCTATCTGTTGTGATAGAAATATGTATATAAGCTACTGCTCAGATAATATAAATGAATTATATATTTCATAACAAAATGTAATGTTAGCAGTTTGTTTCTCTATTATATGATAAATATTATTCTCATAATCAAGCACCAATTTACAGTATTTTTTACTATTAATTTTATGGCATTAGTCATTCCTAGATTTATTTCTGTTCAGAATACTGGCCTAGGCAATTCAAACACAAAGATAAATGAGAGAATCCTTATTCTGCCTAATCTCCTACAAGAACCAAGTCATTAATCATTCGTTACATTATAAAATAACAGAACATCTCGAATATAACAGTTCTAATATAATGTCTATTAAATATAATCAATATTAAATTCTCAATACAGTTATTTAACTTTGGTTTCTGGAACCTGACCTCATTATCACAGATAATTAAGATCCATATATAACGGAAAACTTTAACCATGAATTGCAAAACTTCCCTGTAGCCAAAATTTAGACTGCCTAGCAAAAGCAGAATAATTAAATGTACTTTATCTTCCTGCCTAGCTATTGGAGCAGGTGCTAATATGCTGTGAAATGATAAAGAAAGAAAAAAAAAAGCATATCTATAAAAAAAACAGATTTCAAGCATACTGAATCAAAAATTCAGCAGTACACTATTCACTCTCCTAGTTATTCCCATGAAGACAGGGTCTGTGTCATTACAGTCCCAAACAAACATTTACAACAATGTGTTTCACACAGAAGATGCACCATTAATATTTGTCAAATATGTCATCCAGACAAGAGCTGTATATACACAATGGCTCTGATATAAAATGAGTTCCAGTCATCTCACCAATGTATGATTTTTCCCCTAACAAACTAAAATGAACAGGCTTTACTCAATGACCACTTAAAGTGATAAAAGTTCTCTCCTGCAAAAAAAGTAATTATGCTTACATATTTATCTACAATTTTGCAAGCTATTAGTTCACATTACTTAAAATTGAAATTGGAATAATATCTTGAATTCTTATTATCCCATTTCTCTTTTCTATGCTATCACTATTACAGGGCAATTTGAGAAGCCTAAAATAAAATGCATTTCTATTACATATTTAATCTCTTAACACAAAAAAGAGACACTTGTAATTAGCTTTTCTAATAAGAGAACAGATTCATTAAATTTTTATCTGAATAAAAATCACAGTTATTACTTACCAAGGTCTTTGATTCTCGGTAGTATATTACATGTAAAATGTTTATAAGAAGCTACTTTTCCTTCATGGGAAGATATTCCCACATGAGACTCATAAATTCTTAGACTTCTTGGCTTCTTTGGTCTGGAATGCTTAAACTACAGAATATAAAGTTAGATACACAATTAGAACAGAAATCCAGGTACAACACTAGCCAAGTCCGCATGTTAAATGAAATGGTGGAGCAACTCAGTCACATACTCTGGAGATGTTTTCACATATATAAAAAGAATAGCTACATCCATTACATTTTCTTTTGAGAAAAAATCCTTTTCAGAATCATGTTAATGAACTTATTTTAAAAGAGCAATCATGTAATGCCTTATGCCTCATCATTGAGTGAAGATATATTTTGAGCCTAAGCCTTAGAGAAAACTTAACAGCTGTGAAATGCATACATAATTATTAAATGCCAAGTACTATCAACAAGCTCCAATAACTTAAAGGACAGAAAAGTGAGTTCAAAGATACCTATAACTTGTGAACAAGGCAGCCTTAACAATTACCCTAATACATTCACGAAATGTCCTCCTATTCCTTGATGGTGCTTCAGAACCATGACAAGGAGAAATATTACATCACTGAAGAATCTTGGATGAATCGGAAATTGTAGTTAAGATTTTAAAAAATAATCAGTATTCTTTATAGGTCATTGTGTAGAGATTTAGTTTTCTTGCCCCTTTCAACCTCAGAAACACATGATAAAAAAAACTCACTTTCATACTTTATTAGCTATGGATGAAGGACTCTGACATATGAATAGCAAACGGATGCAGTGTGACATAAAATATTAAACCAGCATTGAAAAGTTGAACATTACTATAAAAGTTATGAAAGTAAAAATTAATTTTCCTAAAAATATCGGAACAAGCATTTATTTAAAGATGTGTTGCTCTCACTTTATATGTGTGTTCGGGATCCCAGTGTATCCAATCATAATTCACATTATCACCTTCACGGGCCACATACTTCGCCCACGGTGAAATACGATACAAAATCTCTCCACTTTTACTCCTAATAACAACCTAAAAAAAGAGAACAAAATGTTACTGCTTTCAAACACTTCAAAACTAAGATAATATGCATAATAGTTTCTAAGCACTGCTATAAGAGGGAAAGGAGGAGGGATCCTAAGAATCTAAACTACCATCCAGATGTGTTACCTTAAAGATGTTTAAATTCTATGAACCTTGCTTTCCTCATCTGCTATAGTATATGATCCTTAAAGTAACTTTTAGCTAGAATATTTTATGATTCTCTGGCAATTTCCATCACTGCAAACCAACCATTAGAGTGGTTAATTAAAGTCAGCACACAGTAGATAATAAAAAGACATGAATGTTACTTGGGAACTGCAGTCAATAAATCAATCATCAGGAGGAAATAATCCTACTCTAGTATAAAAAAGTGACAAGTGAGTTATATCGCCATCTCTTTCTTTTCCCTTCCATAGCAATTAATTATAACATTTTCAAGAAGCTAAAGGAGAAAAATGGTTTTAGTAAATACCTGTATCATGCACGCGCACACACACACTACTCTGTAACTATTTTCTGCCCCTTTTCAACTTCTTCTGTGCTCTATTTTAAGTATGCTTTACCATATAAAACCAAACATTTTAACTTTTAGCCATTCACTCCTTCACTTGCCAATAAATAGTAACATTATTGTTATCAATAATAAAAATAAGAATAAAAAACAATTTTTACTTTATCATTTTATTTTATTTTTTATTGTTTTTTATCTTTATTGTTGAAATAAAGATGTCCCCTTTTTTCCCCACTGACCCCCTCTCCTCCACCCACTCCCCGCCCCAGCCCTTCACCACACTCTTGTCTGTGTCCATGGGTTATGC